AAGTATTTAAAAAGGTGTTGTTTTTTTTTAATTTATTTATAATACTATTATAAATAAATTCAGAAAGAAAATTTTTTTTCAATACTTATTATTGTATGACATTTATTCATTTTATTTAAATAATTCTCTTTATTCTATGCTCTTGTTTAGTTTATAATTAACTTATATAAAGTTAAATATTTTCAAATAATTTTTTTATACAAGATTACAGATTGAAGACATAATAATAAAGACATTATTTCTTTATAATTTATTATTATGTCTATAATCTGTAGTTTTGTATAAAGTTTTTTTTGATAAAATTATTGTAAAATTATAATTAAAAAAATTTTTGTGTAAAGTTAAACAATTATTAATAGTTTAATTTTTAATTTTTAATAAAAATGTATTTTAAGGTATTAATAATACTTGCAAATTGTACATCACTAGTGCCATTAGGTATAATTCATATTTTATATTTATAATTATAAATTTTTATATTAGAAAATTTTATATATGGCTACTACAGTGGTTTTGAAAATATTAGAAGTTGATTTACATTTTAAAATATTTTACATTTTTATTAATTAACTATGCTTTTCCAAGACAACTTAAAAATTCTCTTCTTTTCTTATATTCAAAGTTACCTAATATACGCTAAAATTGCATGGGGAAGTACCCATAAAACTAAATTAAATTCACTCTACATACACCAAAAACATGCATCGAGATTAATTTACAATAAAGATAAATTCACTCATGCCGACGCTTTACTTAAAAATTTGAATGCATTAAATATCTATCAAATATATATTTACCAAAATATCTTATTCATGCTAAAATACAAACTCGGACTTGTTCTGAAATACTTTACTGATAGCTTTTTTCATATCAACGCAAACAAATACATCACACGAGGAACAGGCAACTTCACCCTGCCTTTAAAAAAAACAAAATTCTCGCGATTTTCTTTAATATACCGTGGCCCATACTTACATAACAAAATAATACTTCAAAATATGGAACTTAATAAAATAGATAACCTAATTGCTCTGAAAAAAAAACTAAAACATATCATAATTAACATCGAAATGTATTAAACAATTTGTGAAAAATAGTTATAATAAAAAGCCCTACTACTTCTACTATATAGTAGATACCAAAATACTTATGTGTATTTGTTGAACTAGTTCATTAAAGTTTATTTTATGTTTTAAAGGTTCTCGATGAAAAGACTATTTTAGTCTTCTGCGAGTTTCCTTCAACAAAGTAAATATTTTTTAGGAATAATTTTATATATATATATTCAACAACGTCCACAAGCAAGTCCCTAGTAGCCCTGTGGTACGACGGACTTGCATATATTTTTTAAAAGCATGGGTTAATAGCCAGCACTTTATTTTATAAACAACGAATAGTTACCTTATTTTGTACACGGTACAATGCGCATGCGCTAAACAGAATTTTGAATTTCTTTTGTCTTGTAAAAATTTTAATGGTACAAAAATTGTTTAATTGTACGTTTTGTACTTATATGTAAAAATATGAAATTTTGTTTTATTGAAATATATACGGATACTTTTGTTGTTAAAAAAAAAAAAAAAAAAAAAAAAAAAAAAAAAAAAAAAGCTTCTTTTATTTGATTTTTTCTGTGTTTGATAGTGAAACCCTATCTACTAACATACTAACACAATGTACAAAAAGTGATGCTACTAGAACCTAAATTCTAATTAGGTAGAGCTTACTAATATTGTGGGACAATTTAATATAAGACTATTGACACTATAATTATTGATTGAATAATAAGGTTAAATTCATAAATAATCATTAAAAACAATTAAAATTAAAAAAATTTCTTTTTTTATTCATTTATATTCATTATATAAACGTTCATTCAGACTGACTAACTCATTTAGTATGACTAACGTAATACAACATTTTTATAGATAATATTATTTTTAAAAGTTGTATTATTATTAATAATTACTATTAATATTCACAATAAAAATAAAAAAAAAAAATCATTTACAAACATTCGAGAAACATTATTTTAATATAATTTTTTTTGTTTTACACTGTAGTCTGTACCTCAAATGTTAAAGAGAATTATTTTGTGTCAGTGTCAGAAATTGAATTTTCAAAATCACACCAGCAAATATCATATTTCATAAAAGTATTATGAATCCATTAGCAAGTATATATTTTTATCATTAAATATTTGCCCCTCTGTCTTTAATTTTACTAGCTTTATTAGTGAATTTTTACTTTCATTAATTCTAAATGTTATATGTAACTTGTTTTATATTTTCTAAGAACACTTTTAATTTTATTATTTAAAGATAAAATCCCCTAAAGGTATACAGATATTTTTTCCACGATTTGCAAGCATTGAAGTGCAACTTGCTGAACTACAAAACACATCAAATTTCATTTTTAACATACTTAGAAAGAGTAACAAAGATGCCAATTAATGATTTGTCTGACAGAGTGTCATTGCCTCTAAAAGCAATAAAGAATTTAAGTAATATAGAAGAAAAATTAAAAAACAAGAAAATTCTTAATCGTATGGTAAATACTTTTTAATGATCTTTATACAAATTATGAAATTAAAACAAAAAAATTTTTGTGAAGGTTTTTTGTATATGATACTTTATATTAATTTAAGTCTAACCAAAAGTAACTTTAAATAATGCCAGCAACATTTTTGCAGGTTAATTATTTAGGAAAAATTGGAGTTAAAGACAAAGGAGATGGTATATGTTATTTACTAAAAATAGTTTTTAAAAATGGCCTAGCTTTAAAAATAAACTATGCAGGGAGAGGACAAAAAATCGGTGTAGAAAAAATATTGATTGCATATGTTGCTATTGATAAGTGGTTTAGAAAAATTAATTTTTTAGTTTCAATTTTGCACTACACAATTACTTTCAGTTTGTTTATTTGGTGCATAAATAAACAAACAACTAATATTTTTGCAGAAGCTGTGAAACCAAATAAGCATGGTTTAGTTAGGCATGTGATAGAGATGGTGGAAGAAAAGATGATAGACATGGGCACCAAATATCTTTAGCTAAACACAATATAATAACAAGTAGCTCAGCCAATATCAAAACTACTCCATAAATTTTATTTAAAAACTTTGGTATATAAAACTCGCCGAATGGTCATTCACGAGCAGTAAACGTCTGAGGGAAGAAATGAAGTACATTAGAACAAAGAAGAGATATTTTTTGAACAAAGCATATTTTGACAGTTGTCAATACAAAAATAAAAATTAATAAAGGAATATTTAAAAATAAATAAGACAGACAATGCACCTAAAACAGTACTTAACAATAATAATAATAATAATAATAATATTAATTGTTTAATAAACACTAATATGAACGAAGATATACAACAATTATTTCACCAGACAAAATCTTATAAAACAAAAAATTGATTACAAAATAAAAAGTATGCTAACAGCAATGGAACGCCTCAGAATGGAAAAAAAACATCAATGCTAATGGGGTAGTATTAACAGCATCGAAAACAGCTAAACGGAAAAGGGACTTTCCGGAATGATATTGAAGTAGAGAATAAAAACAAAATTATAAAAAAAAGGAATTGTATCTAAAATAAGAAAAACAGAATACGATCGAATTAGCTCAAAATAGAATGAGTTTAAAAAATGACTTTTTGGATTAATATCGAAATAGAGAATAAACTGAAATTTGTGAATTTTAATTGATAGACAGCCTGCTCAAACCAGACCCTCAGTCAATGTAGCAGTACTTCTTGCATGTCCTACCTATATTTCAGTCTATGCAACAACACTTCTTCCATGTTCTACCTATTTTTCAGTCGATGTAGCTACACTCCTTGCATGTTCTACCTCGTTGTTAGTTTTTCAATACTATTCCTAAATCCAAATTTCGATATTATTCCGTATAGGTGTTTTCGAAATTATTTCTTCTTAATGATTTTTTTTATTTTGAATTAATTCCTTAAAATTAGTTTTCAATATTGATCCCAAAAAACGATTTGAGCAAAAAAAATTCGATATTATTCCGTTTTTCGAGCAATTTTTTTTTTCAATACTATTCTTCTGTCCCGAATACTGTATGGTTGGTTGAAAATGCCCCTATAATAATATTTAAGTTAATGTCTCAGTCTTTAAAAACTTTTTCGAAATCAAAGTTTTCAAGAAATTCTCTTTTTCCAAGAGTAGATCACTTTTGTATAGCAAATTGTTTAAATTTAAAAAGAAACGTGAGCATTTACGTTTATGAGGTTTTTCTGAAAATAAATGAAAAACAACTTTATAATGAAATTCGCATACTAATCTGGTATATTTAAAAAAAAAAACTATTACCATATTTTTTTTTAAATTGAAAAACATTTTTTAACGACTAATTACGACAAGCAGTGTTCTTGAAACTTTTAAATAATCCGTTTCCTAACTTTTTTTTTTTGAAAACTGTAAAAAGCACTTTACTATAATCAAGTAAGATGTAAAACTACATTTTACAAACCATAATACAGTGTTTTCGATTTATCATTACCCGAGAACATCACATCATTCTAAGTATTTCATCATTGCCATGCCGGATTTGAATATTAAATAGTAATTATTTGCAACCTTTATAGTATGTTAAGAGTGTACACCGAATCAGACGCAGATTGAACAAAAGCGTCAAAACAAACAAAGTAAATACTTAACAAATTTTAATAAAATAACAAAGAAATATATAATATTTATAACTATTGTTTATAAAGGCATTAGTGAGAAAAAAGTAATAACAAAAATTTCCATAGGTATTAAGTGTTTTTTCAGATAATGCATTTCATTCAAACTATATCACGCGTAGCGTTGCTAAAAAAAGAATTACGTTTTTGCAACCATTTGTTGTTAACGCGCACATTTCTCGCATAGCGTTGCTATAGAAGAATGTTTTTGCAACAACTTGTTGTTAATGATCTCGTTTTACAACTTTTATTGTTTACATAGCAAATTTTTAATGGGAAAACAGACACAATGAAACCATCAAAGGCAATCGAAACTTCATGGATATAAAACAAAAAACAAACAATCATGTTTAAAGGTTTTATGACAATTACATAACTTAGTTAAGAATACATATTATTAGTAAAACATCCAGAAAGTTAACGACGCTATGGCGAAAAGATTGTAAGTTTTTTTATAGTATTAGTTTGTCCGTGAACTTATTTGTTAAAGTAAAAATAAAATAAGCAGGCATTTTACGTCTAAGGTTACGCATGCCATTAAAGCTACAAATAATTCACATTGATAGACATCCTAAGGTATTTGAGAAAATTTATAGTGAAAGTCGATGTTTTTGTTGTGATAGCAAATTTTACGGTAAACACTCAAAGAAGAAATTAAAATTGAAGTATATTTGGAAAAAAATATAAAAAATCTCTATATATTAATTTGCTATTGTTGAGGTGGTCAACCTCTTTAAAAACGAATTTTTTGAATAACGAACACAGTCTTCTCAAGTTGTAATTTACTATTTACAAGCACTCATTAAGTATTAATGCGTCTGATTAAGCAGCTCCATTCATAAACATTTTTTGCGCCAAAAAAATTTAAACACTTTAATGACTTTTTGTAAACCTTATTTGAAGAAACTTTTAGTTTTAAAAGTTAATTAAGTTACATCTTACCTCATACATTACATCTTAGCTCATTGGCTGATTTGCACATATAAATAGCTGACGCCAAAATTTTTAGTAATATATATAATAATAAGTTGTCACTATCGGTAATTACTAAGTAAGTTCTAATGCTGTTTTGAGTTCTATTATGAGAAAGAATATAAAGAGTACTTTGTCTATTGTCTAACTTTTTGGGACTTGGTTATAAATCATTAGTAAATCTTAGCTTGAATATTCTATTGCAATTTATTGAAAATTGAAGTCTAGAAGATTAAGTTATGAATGCTTACAAGCTCATTGGCTGATTTGCACATATAAATAGCTGACGCCAAAATTTTTATTAATATGTTTACTGCTCGGATGAAATGAAGTAGCTCGTAAATAAAAACTTAATTTAGTAATATGTTCACTGCTCGGCTTTAATGAAGTAGCTAGTAAATAAAAAAAACTTATTTATATGACGATGGTTAGTGAATGCAAAAATTTCAACAAATTTTACTTTAAATTTTTAAATAGTTTAAATTTAATTTGTTATTTTGTTGATTTACTTTTTGTTGATTTACATATCTAAAAGATAAAGGTTTCTTGAAATCTGTTTTTATATTTGGCAGTGAACAAGCCTATTTAAATCTGTAACTATCACAGTTACGTCATCTATACAAAAAAAAGATATCTATACAAGGTACTACATAGATTCTATCTATGTAGTACCTTGGTAACTAACTAGCACACCTAATTAGTCAACTTATTTTTAATTCAATCAGTATACCGTTTGGTTGACGTAAAAAAATTATTTTGTCCAAATACCAAATCCATAATAACTTGTGCTACAATAAACAATTTTTTGTAGCACCAAAACAGTACGCTATTTATCTTGCAGCACATGACTAAGGCGAAATAATCTGTTAAATTAGTTTCTTTACACAACGTGGGCGTTTATAACGTGCCTAATAAAGAGCTATAGAAAGGGTTGATGAAAAATGAATTTTATAAAAAAAGTTAAATTTTAATAAACATATTGCAAAACTTTACGCTGCATTGATGAGAGATTTACAGTAATGAAATTCAAGTTTTTTGAAATTTTAATAATTTATTCAAAAAAAGTTATAATTTATAAATTGATCAGAGAGGAGACAGAAATTGAAATTGGATATTGATGTTTATTTAGAAGAAAAAAAAGAAAAGAATTATGCTCGATTATGCTTGATTATACGACTATGTAGAGCTAGCAGAAATAATTAAGAAGAGCTATAGCGCAGTGGTATAATCTAGATAAACTCGCGCTTTCATTTTCTCCTTATCAAATTGAATAGGAACTAGAAAAAGATTTAAAATCAAAACTAAAATTTCGCTTCTGATTAACCACTAATTGTTAATTAGAACAGCAAAAAACTTTAAGCCATAACTGTTATAAAAATTTATCGGTAACTGATACTTAATCGGTATGTTGATACTTAATCGGTATGTTGATACTTAATCGGTATGTTGATACTTAATCGGTATGTTGGTAACAGGATTAGGAGTTAAAAGTACTGGATTACTGGATTATAAAGTTATGAGTTATGTGTTATAGGAGTATACCAAATCTATCATCTAATTAATATTATAAAACAAATGATGTTTCTGACTTAATTACTACCTTTTGAGAATTGAGTAAAGTTATTATTGAAAAAGTTGGTGAGAGATCATTTGACACAACTATGAGAAATATATATAACTCCCCAGAAAATGTTTTTGTAGTAGATTTGCAGTGGAACTATATAGGCATCCAATTTCTTGTAGTAAAGTTAACAAAATTTGTAATTGTTATTATATGTATTTTATTCATTCTATTATTGAAAAACTTATTTTGAATAAATAAAAAGAACAAACATAAAAAAAAAGTTATTTTGAGTGGTTTATTGGAGTTTTGCTTATCGGTTATTGACAAGCAACTTTTAGCGGCTGTCACTAATGGTACACTAAGTAACCGATGAACAAAAAAAAAGTGGATCTTAAAATGCTACTATTTCATATTTAAATTTTTTTATTTAAATCAGGTTATATAGCAGGTAACTACAATTATTTTCAAATTTGGTTAAAGGATTTCTTTTTTAAACTGCAAATTTATTTTAGTCTTGTTCTGTTTTTTAAAACTAATTTAGCGCATTATGTGTAAGAGACCTTTTAATCATCTAACTAAAAACAATGCTACATTGTAAAAATTTGGTTTTAAACAGACCCCATGATAATAAAATTAGTTAAACATACATTAAATGCAAATAAAAGTAATTGTTATACCATTGGATTTTTTATTTATTTATCCGAGGCTTTTTACACAGTAAACCATAAAATACTTTTATAAAACTATACAGTAAGTATATGATTTTTTTTCAATCAAGATTTCTGGGGTGGCAAATGATGAACTTTTATCTAAATATTGTAAATATGACTTAATTTTTGTTTAAGTTTTAAAAAGAGTTAATTTTTGACTTAATTTTTGTTTAAGTTTTAGAAATAGCTACAATGCTCAATTTACACAAGTTATATATTGTAAAACAGAAATTTTAAACATCCATATGAAAATATGCTTAGGGGAGAGCGGGGTTGGTTGTCACGCGGGGTAGTTGTCACAAAGTTTATTACAGGAAATGTAAATAAGATATAGAAATTTCAAATTATACAATGGAAATGTTATATAAAAAAAACATTTTTACAGTAATTTTTATCTTTTTTTAGCGTGCAGAAGAAAAGTTATTCGTTTTTATAGGTTTTTGATATGAAAAAGTAAAATTTCGCCTACTCAGAAATTTTCTTTTACCAAACGAAAATTATTTTATTGTGTTTTGAATGTAGATTTATAAAGTACTTTATTCATTTGAGTAACTTAATCCGTAAAAAATTATCATGAAATTCTCACGCTTTTAGGTAAATGTACAGGTGTCCAGCAACTTACTCAAAAGGGGTTGCTTGTCACAAAATATATGGGATGGTTGTCACACTTGCCTCGACTCCATGCGCTGCAAATTAAACGCCGCTTGCAGAATATTTGGTGGCTTTGTTTATTTTCCGCATTATTGAGGAATATTTTAATGTTTAAGATATTATTTAAAAATCTAAAGTCAAAGTGTTATATTTGTTTAACTAAATATCTGTAATCTAAATTATTTTTATTTCAACGTGCATAACTTTAGATTCCGATCCAATGTTTAGTATAATTATAGAAAAAGGATTGCAGAAGTTCAACTGTTTATTGTTTTGTTTACAAACTAAACAACTAGCTGTTGTTTAGTTTGTAAAACTGTCTGTTGTTTTGTTTGTGCATTGTTTATATTTAGTGGGTTTATATATATATATATATATATATATATATATATATATATATATATATATATATATATATATATATATATATATATATATATATATATATATATATATATATATATATATATATATATATATATATATATATATATATATTAATGTTTTGTTTACATTATTTGCAAATATTTTTATTTGCTTAGTAATAAACATGGTACGAAATTTTAAAAGAAAAACTAATAGAGGTTATACTTCTGGAGATGTCATAATGTGTGCTGTTAAAGATGTAAAGATTAATAACATTTCTATTAGATCAGCAGCAAAAAACCATGGCATTAATTACAGAACATTAGCACGTTATTGTAAAAAAATTATTATTACTAACCCATCACATGGTTCTATAGCAGATCTAATTGACAAAATTGAAAACCACACCTCCCTTAATGTTATAGGATACAAAAGTCGATTGATATTGCCAGAAAAAGTAGAAAAAGAACTGGTCACCTACCTGTTGCGAGCAGCAGATATATATTTTGGTTTAACTCCTACCGAAGTAAAAAAGCTCGCATTCCAGCTAGCAATTAAAAATAATATGAAGGTTCCCAATTCTTGGGTTGTAAAGGAACAAGCTGGTAAGGATTGGTTTACAGGATTTATAAAGCGCCATTCAAATATTTCCATTAGGCAACCTGAAGCTACTAGTTTAAGTCGAGCGACAAGTTTCAATAAGCAGAATGTTGCATCATTTTTTAGCAATTTGCAGCACTGTATGCAAAAATACTCGTTCTCACCAAATGACATTTGGAACATGGACGAAACTGCTGTAACTACTGTACAGCAACCTAAAAAGGTTATTGCGAAAAAAGGATTAAAACAAGTAGGAGTCATCACGTCAGCTGAAAGAGGAACTCTTGTAACATTAACATACACAATAAATGCTATTGAAAATAGTATTCCACCCTTTTTTATTTTTTCTCGTAAAAACTTTAAAGATCATTTTCTAATCAGTGCACCAACAGGAAGTGCAGGAGATGCAAATCCAAGTGGTTGGATGAAAGAAGAAAACTTTGTAAAATATCTAAAACATTTTGTAGGCAATACAAAATGTACTAAAGAAAAGCCTTGTTTATTGTTGCTTGACAATCACGAAACTCATCTTAGTATCGAAGGATTAGATTTGGCAAAAATAAATAAAATGGCAAAAAT